CACATGGTGAGAGGAAGCAAGAGGGAGAGGGAGACAGGTGCCAGTGTCCTTTAAACAACTAGCTCTCGTGGGAACTAACAGAATAAGAACTCACTCACTACCCCACCCCATGAGAGATCTACCCCCATGACCCAAACAGCTCCCAACAGTGTCACATTGGGGATCAGATTTTGACATGAGCTTTGGGAGGGACTCACATCCAAACTCTACCACTGTGGGCTCGGGAGAGGGAGCCCCTGTCCCCTCAGCTGACTCACCAGGAATTGAGCATCTTTGACTTAGAGGAGATGAAAAATACTGGTGGCCGGTCCTTCCCTTGATTGGGAACTGCGAGGAGAATGGGCCCCATTGTCCTGGCTACAGCCACCTGAGGAGGAGCTTCCACCAAGCTGAGCTGGGGACAGGGGGACAGAGAGGTGAGCCAAGCCTCAAATGCCTCAGACACTTGCTGTTCTTACCAAGTGCTGTTGGGTTTTCTTAAATCAATGTTTCTTATTTTGCTGCACATCCTTACAATTTCCAGACATTAAATGGTTGTTTTTTCTATACTTTTCACCAGCGATATCAGCTTTGCTTATATCACTAAAGAATGGGTCCACAGAGCTCCTCCTGCTCCCTTTTCATAGACTTTTAACATTACACTCTGGGAAAGCAGTCACAGGGTCTGAGGCATAGGCTCTGTGCTGTGACACAGCGGGGGACCCACACCTCTCTTCTGACCTTTGAACAGGGAGGAGGTGGCAGTGAAGCCTGCCTGCCCATTTGCACTTGCTCTCACCTCCAACTGCAAATCCTGGCTAGAGAATGCCTCCCACCAGGAGGCAGATGGTGAAATCGCCTGGGCTCATAGACATGCATTCAAGTAGCAAACCTCCACTGGCACTGAGGCCAAAAATGGAACAACCTTCTGAGAGACATACCAATCTGGGATTTCCGCTATCCCCCTCAGGCAGGGGTCCTTACGTGTTCCAGTGCCACAGACAATAGTGGCAGTCTAGTGATGGCCTCCTTCTTTGAATAATGCTCTTAAATCCATAAAATAAAATACATACAATTATAAAGGAAACCAACTACACAAAAACAGTTATCACAATTTTTTTATGTGATATACTAAAAACATGCTACTTTATGAACATATTAAATAACAAGAACTAATGGAGAGTCTAATAACTACTAAAAATATGCTGCTTTATGAACATATTAAATAACAAGAACTAATGGAGAGTCTAATAACTACCAGAATAATGACAGGGTATACATGATTGTTCTGTAAAACTATAAGGTGATATGAAAATATCTTGAATTCTATTGGTAAGAAAGTCACAAGTACAGCTAATACTACTGTGGTTTCACCTACATTCAAATGAAAAGAAATGCTGAATTTTGGTTAGAGGTTAGGGAAAATCAAGATGTATTCTTTCTCCATTTAAGTTCACCGGCCCACCAAATTCTATCCATGAACCCCTACTACTCAAAGTATGGTCTACACCAACAGGTTGGGATCAGCTTCTCAAATCATTTGGGTTAAAACGTAGATTCTTATTCAGTGTCTGTACCTGAGATTCCTCATCTCCAACAAGCCCCAGTTAGTGCTGCTGCTGCGGTGATGGCCCAGGGACCACACATTGTGGACAAAAGGCTCTGAGGCTTATCCTGGTCACGCTTTAACCTGAAGTGGAGGTAAGAGTTGGAAGCCACACAGATGGTGCTTCCTGGCCCTTGAAGCTTCCAGGAAAGGCTTGGGGTTTTCTGGCTTCTCCCCAAGGGGGCATGCTTTCCTTTTCCATAAGCTTCAGTATCTGATGACGGAAAGGAAACTTAGATGGAGATTCTGAGCTGGGGGACCCTCTGTTTCCTGAAAGCTACCATGGAGTAGCAGTCACTTGTCAGGTAAGTTGCTGACCCATGGCAAGCCCCAGCACTCAAAATGTAGGCACAGATACATATATCCCTTTGCGGAAAATAATAACTCACAAGTCCAAGTTGCCAAGCCTCAAAAGTGGAAGTGATAATGCAAAAAGAAAAAAGTAACCAAAAGTGTTGGACGGTTAGCTCAGTTGGTAGAGCATGGTGCTGACAACACCAAAGTCCAGAGTTTGATCCTTGTACCAGCCAGCTGCCAAAAACAAAAAAGCGACTGAAGACTTTGAAATTACTGACGAATGTACCTTAGCTATTTTCCTGAGGGCACAGGAAATACGTTTAAAATGTGTATAATCTTCTCTAAACTAGGTCCTATATTTTAAGCAACCTCAGCTGCCAAAAAAACTCCAGTGCCCTTTTACTTGGGATATATTTAATACATAGAAAAAAATATTAAAAGAGCAGAAAAAAATTCACATTAACAAATGGTGTAACTATTATTTTCAGTACAATGGCCAAAAGTAGCAAAATATCATCTAGTAGTGATACCATTCAGTAGTGGTTTTTATGTTTTTAGTAAGAAAAAAGAATTTCAGAGACCTGGGTTAGTGGCTACATTTCTTCTTCGGCTTCCTTGGGGCTCACAGATCCCTTCCCCTCTGCATCCAGCACCCCCAACTAACCTTAATTCCACGCCCTGCAACCTCACGCCTTGAGAGCCCAGTTCTTCAGCAGTGCAGCAAAAACTGCAGCTTAATCCAGCTGCAAGGGCTGCTGGGCCGCTCTTAGGTTGCCCTCTGCTGGCCACACATGGAAGCGGGAGGAAGTCTTCAAACACAAAATCATCTTCCTTTAAGAATTCAAGAATAAAAATGGGAGGTAAAAAATGTTTTGGAAGAAAACAGAAGCTAGTGTTTGTCTGTCTTGCCTACCATTTTTGGTCTGTGGGTCTCAGAAAGGATGTTGATGATGCCACAGAACGCAGTTAAAACAAATTTGGGAGCCCCAAGGTCACACTCCACAAGGATTTTAAAAGTAAATTGATACAAGAACTCTTGCAACTCAACAAGAAAACAACCTGATTAAGAAATGGGCAAAGGACCTGAATAGACAGTTCTCTAAAGATATACAAATGGCCAGCAAGTACATGAAGTAATGCTCAGCATCACAAATTGATGAATTACAGAAATGCAAATCAAACTAAAGCACCCGTTAAGACGGCTATTATGGAAAAAAACCAGAAGATAGAGTTACCCAGGATGTGGAGAAACTGGAATCCTTGTGGATGGAATGTAAAATGGTGGCTGCTATGGAAAACAGTATAGCAGTTCCTCAAAAAACTGAAAATAGAATTACCATGTGATCCAGCAGTTCCACTTCTGGGTATATATCCAAACGAATTGAAAGCAGGCTCTTGAAGAGATATTCGTACACCCATACTCACGGCAGGATTATTCACAAGAGCAAAAATGTGGAAGCAGCCCCAGTGTCCAACAACGGATGAACAGATGAACAGAAAGTGGCGTATACATACACACATTCAACCTCAAAAAGGAAGGAAATTCTGACACACATGGATGAACCTTGAAGATATTACACTAAGTGAGATGAGCCAGTCACAAAAAGATGAATCTGGTATGATTCCACTTACATAACCCATCTAGAATAGTCAGACTCACAGAGAAGGTGCAGAGAGGTGGCTGCCAGGTGCTGGGTAGAGGAATGGGGAGGTGGTGTTAAATGGGTGCAGAGTTTCATTTTGCAAGATAGGAAAGTTCTGGGGCCGGCCCGTGGCTGACTCGGGAGAGTGCGGTGCGGATAACACCCAGGCAACGGGTTCGGATCCTATATAGGGATGGCCGGTTGGCTCACTGGCTGAGCGTGACAACACCAAGTTAAGGGTTAAGATCCCCTTACCGGTCATCTTTAAAAACAAAAACAAACAAAAAAAAAAGATAGGAAAGTTCTGGAGACTGATGGCACAACATGAACATACTTTACACTACTCAGCTGTACGCTTAAAATGGCTAAGATGGTAAATTTCATTGTGTATTTTACCACAATTGAAAATAAAAGTTTTTTTAAGTAAATTAAGGCAGCATGTCAACACATCATTCCTTCATTTGCTGCCCTGCTCCACATCTGCTCAGCTTCCAGAAACTTACAAAGTTGTCACTTCTCGCTGTGTGACAGAGACACAAAGATTACTCACAGCCCAAATATTAAGAGCAATGAGAATCCTGAAGGGGCTGCACGGAGAAAACTCCCCCGAGAAGGAAGGAACATGGCACAGCCCTGTGTTGGTATTTGCTTCAGCTTTTATTGTAAAGACGAGGAAATACAAGAGAAAAAACAACTTCCTCAATCATTTATCAAAGGAATGAAAAGAAATTGGCTATGGGGCATTCTCTGGAAAGCATCTGGAGAAACAAAAGAAAGGGAGTGAAGCTGGGTTAGAAATAACCTTTATGTCCTTATCTAATTGAGCAGAACATCCTTGACGATCTTTGCTGTGCTAATGGCTTTTGCCCTTTGAACAATCCCTGCTCTGCCTCAAATCTCCTATCTACACTAAGGGCTTTTGCCCTGTGCAAGTTCCCTGGTCTTTCTCAATCTTCACATTCCTACACTCCTCCACACAAGTTACTGTGGCAAGAATCTAGGGATCTAGTTGGATTTTACAGATTAAAGTACTGGTGGCCACAAAGGGCAAATTGACTTGTGCAGGTCCCCAGAGGTTAACAATGGGGACAGGACTGGTCAGTCTGGCTCCAGACTCTCAGGCGGGGCTCCACCCGCACCACAACCTGATGGGACAGCCCTCTTCCTGATGGGAGGCACAGGTGACCCCTCTCCACTCAGGGCTGTCTGGGAGGAAGGCAGCCCAGGAGGAAACCCCTGTGGCCTGAACTTCAAAGCCCACTGAACAAACCTGGAGGGAGATGAGGAGAAAGACAGAGATGTGTGACAAGTGTCAACAGGGTAGACCCTGAGTAGGTTTTTTCCACTGTTTTGTAAGTTTTCCCAAAATGAGCTATAGAAGGAGTATCTAATTGTCCCTCCAAGGCGGAGTGTTCTTCTACACAGTGAATAACTGACTTCCCATTTTCTGCCTGTCTACAAAAATATGGTATAGAGCACACACAGAAATATTTTTTATTTTACTTTGATGATTAGGAAAAGTCACCAATATAGCTTAAATCAAGGCTAACAAATAACCTTACGGGCACTTAATTGGCTAATTTTGTGAAACAAATATTCTCACTGGCACTTTTCTTTGGCTGGGACCTTTGACATTAAGGCCAAGGTGCTGAAAAGAAAGTGTCCCCACCACAGCATCAACCTCCTCTTCGGCACAGGTGTGGCGATGGGACAGTGTCAACAGGTGTGGACAAGCACTCGGCGCTCTACCTGTGCAGGTCCCGATGGCTTGTTGTGAAGAATCGCTTTCAGCTGGTAAGGTTTGGCAAAATGTGTTTCTCCGGGCGACGTCGGCTCATCGTGAGGTGGCCTGTGAGGTAGTTCTCTTTGCGTTTTGCAGACATTCCCATGCTTTACCCAGGGGGTAAATGTCCCAAGTCTGAAACCTCTGGCTTCACATTCCTACTACAAGTCAGTCCGCAATTCTGCCCCAGATTCTAGCTCTTCAAATCTGAAGGGATATTTTCTTCATCCACAGGTTGTTTCGTTTTTAACTGGCTGCTTAGTGTTAGAAAGGAATATCTCAAGCCCCCTGCCATGCTGAAAGGAGAGGGGAAAAAAAGAGAAAATAAACAATAGGGAACTGTACAGGTGCCACCACCAGCAGTTTCTGACATCATTGTAAATATGGTCACCTTAATTTGAAGGGAATTATTTAGATCTCCTTTTTTCTCCCTATGTTTGTGGATTACTTGATGAGAATTTCCCCCCTTATTTACAAACCTCTGGGAGCAGAAAAAGAGTGACCAAATCTAATCCAGAACCCTGGAGAGAAAATGAGTACTTGGTTTTTACTGCATAAACTATATACCATTGTCCTTAAAGAGTGTCCCAAAATGCCTTCCAAAAGTATCTTGGTCAGTCCTCAAGGCATCCTTCGTCTATGGCACTTTGGTGGAGCACAAGTCTAATGAGACCCGCTTTGCAGGAAGGAGACAGACCACTTAGGGGACCTTTCTGTGCAGAAGACGCATGACTTAAATCCAGCTCTCAGCCCATGAATTTCATCACACATGTCCCCATGGGTCCACATGAGGAAGTATGCCATAAAAATAGATGAACTAAGTGATTTAAGTAAAATTATTTTAGAAGTTGCAATGTCAAAACACCTCCTGGCTTAAAATATAAACCTTCTCCTTACTCTTCTGCTTATTATGTATTAATAAGACTGTTTAAAATTCCTATTTCACTAAAAAGAGTTCATATAAAAATCCCACTCACCAAATGTTTAACCCTACAAAGTTTAACACGGAGAAAATGTAGTCTCCACCAACTAACATCCCAATGTAGGCAACAGACACATTCTGCAGAAAAGGAAAGAAATTAGTATTTTAGGAGTAAAGGATTTAGGGGGAAATACATATAGGGTGAAACTAGACATTTTAGTTACTTTGCATAGAGACTTGTACATAGTAGATGTTCACGGAATGTTGAATCAGTGAAAAAAAAATTACGAATGGCTTTATAAAGAAATGGAGTAAATTATGGTATAATAACAGAAAACTGCATTGTTCATTCCCCCGTTCCAGTTAATACACAGCAGAAGATGGAAAAGTTGGGTCGTAATCAGCTTGAGGAATGTGCTAAATTCCACGCAGTGCTCTGTCCAGTGTGTTGCAGGAGACCCCTGGGCAGCCACCGAACAGTCTACCGTGGAAGCAGGCAGCTTTCCTCACTCACTCTAGTTCACATGAACAGAAAAACAAAGCAACTGTGCAACAGAATTCAGAGTACCTCCACCCCCAACTCACTCGTGTGTGTGTGCGTCTGTGTATTCACATGCACGCACACACACACATGCCCACATACCAACCCCCACGTTCATGACCTCATCATTGAGCATATACCTAGACTGCAAACCGTTCTTCACAAGGGTCCCCATTCATAGTGGGTAGATTCTCCCAAAAACCAAACTGTAGATCACAGGTATCTCGGTCATCATAGATATTTGAATTTTTTTCCCCAGATTTTTACTTCATTCCCCCAGACCATCCCCTCCCAGCCACCCCCAATTTAAAAGCTGTTATTCATCTCTCCTTTTAAAATTAGCAAGTCCTCCCTGTTTTAGGGGATCAGAAGTACAATGAGATCACCCAGGCCCAGGTGAAAATGTCACAAATTCCGTATTTCTATGCTACTGACAACATCAACAAAATCAAACTCAGTTCCTGTCCTAAAGTTTAGATTCACAGTCAGTTCCCGAATCAGTTACTCATTCCCAGCCTCCGTCCACCTACCTTGATGGCTCCAACCACCGCCGTGGTCAGGGCCGAGTTGTAATAGCTGCACAGGACCGTGGAGAACATCAGCAGAAACCTGAGCGAGGAAACAAGCAGTGAGCGGACGGCTCCCCGTGCTGGGGAGCAAGGGGTTAACGAGAGTCAGCAGGGACCACGCGCCAGGACCTCGAACAAATGAAAGGAGACAGTGTCCCACAGGCTCTACGCCCAGCCCAGCAGCGTCTTCACTTCACTTACCACAGGAAAAGGGTCTAGCTGGGCACAGGCCAAGCTTCCCCCTCAGGTCTCCTCCTCCTCACTTCCTCTGCACATTTCCCATCCGTGCTTCCAAGAAATGCGGGTGAGGAGAACAAGATCTTTCTAATGGCCTGAAATCTTTCATCTCACAGCTATGTTACAATGACGGTTTCCAACTCTGCATCGGAATCGCCTGCCGCACTTTCCACACACAGGGATGCCCGGCAGAGACTCTCGTCCAGTTGGTCTGAGGTGGGCCTGGGCTGTGAGTGGTACAAAAGTGCCACAGGTGACTAATGTGCAGCCAGAGCTGAGGACTTGAGGATCCCTGGTGTGAGAAGGGATAATCAGCTGAGCGACTGCTGGCTTTGGACAAAGGAGCGGGGTTGCACGTGCAACAATACTCCTGCACCGCATTACCAAAGTTAATTCAGGCTTTAAACAGGAAGTAGCAGCTCTGACTTGCCAATAAAAGGACTACAGAATTGTGAGCAAGCACCAGGCAAGAAAACATATATACACAGGAAAAGAATGTAAAATCCAGTCAGAGGTAAAGAAATGAGTTACTTCCAATCAAGTAGGAAAAGAAATTAACTGCAACCTAAGTTGGGTGCAAAGTTCTGTCCATCCAAACCAGATGATTAAATGTTGGAAGGAATTATAATCAAAACTGGCTGAGAATGAAACTTGAAAGGTACATAGAGAGTGTGGGATTTTAAACCTAAATCCCAGGTGGATCCCTATTGACAGAGTAAAGCAAACCTGACCCTAAGCAAGGAAGGCTCAGCATGCCCAGGTCTTGGCTGGACTTGTCCTGCTGGAGCGTGGTGCCCAGGCTCAGGTCCTAGGCTCACATCTCTGACTGTTACTAACACAACCAGGGGCACAAGCCCTCAACGCCATAACCTCTGTAAGCCCGAGTATGTTTGTCACAAGAGATGGTAGAGGGAAAAAATAGAGATAAAGTATATCAAGCTTTATGTTAGGTTAAGGAGTAAACTTAATTGCAAACTTAAATTTTGTAATCTTCAGAATAATGTGTGCATTTGTTATTAAGGTAATTAAAACAATTTGACAAGTTAAACAAACTTTGTGGTTTTAATTTGAAATGTGTAATTGATACAACACTTGCAATTTTAACTGGAAGGGAGTAAGAGAGTCTGAGTCAATCTATGCACAGTATTGGAATTTTTTTTTTCTTTTTGTCTTTTTTTTTACTGACCGGTAACGGGATCGCAACCCTCGGTGTCACGCCCGCACCGTGCTCAGCCAGTGAGCGGGAACCGGTCTCCACATGGGATCCAAACCCTTGGCGGGAGGGCCGCCGCGCTCCCAAGCGGTGCACTCTCCAGTGCGCCACCGGGCCGGCCCAGTATTTGAATATTTTTAAAAAGCTGATCTAAGGACTGCCCTGTTAGCTCAGTTGACTAGAGCATGGTGTTGAAACACCACGGTCAAGAGTCCATATGCCCACACTGGCAAGCTGCCAATAAATAAATAAATAAATGGCTGATTTACCACATTTCCAACTTGGTTAGATTTCAAAGAGTTGCTTAAGCATATAAAGGAATCTATTAGCTTTGCTAGTCAGCTTCAGGGGCTGGAATTGCTGGAGAAAAACCAGATCACATTTGTCAATGCCATCTAAAATGTTTAAAATTTTTTAATTCACTAACTTGTAAATGGAACCAATTACAGTAAATTGTTTGGGAGATTTTAATTAGTTAAACTTGAATTAGTAAACCATTGATCAAATAATGTAAATAAATGTTCTTTTATAGAAAAATTACTAGCTTTATAAATAGAGCAATAGTGTTTATAAGTTGAACTTGAAGAATTAAGAAAATCTAGGGCTGGCTGGTTAGCTCAGTTGGTTAGGGCATGGTGCTGACAACGCTGGAGTCCAGGGTTCAATCCTTGTACCAGCCAGCCACCAAAAAAAGAAAAGAAAAAAACAACTCTAAGTTTTTTAAAAATGTTGCAATTTTAATAAATTCAACATTAATTTAGAGCCCCAGGAGCTATAAATAATCCTATTCATGCATAAAATGAAAAGATAAAAAAACTCAGCCTGATGTCACTTAGTGCTTACTCTGCTAGGCCTTGGTAGTCAGAGGAGCTAAGCCATGGCATCTGTCCTGGAGGAGCTCAGCGTCTAGTAAAATAGAAGAAAGAAACAGCACAGCGGGGCACAAGGCAGGCGGCCCGCCCAACATAGGGGATACAGGTCAGCTTCTTGCAGCCTTCCTAAACATAAGTGCGGCCTTAAACCAAGGACAATCATGGAGGTTCTTTATTTTTATTTTTGCTTAAAAATTTCAAATCCAGGCTTCCAATCATGCAACGTTTTCTGCTTCCCACATCTACATGAAACCACCTTGGCCTGCATTCAGAATCAGTACATAACATGGATCTAAAATCCCAGTGCCCATCTACTACGAGTGTGGGCGACCACCACATTCACTCACCAGCTGGGCTGAGCTGGGTGGGGAGGGGGAGAATCCCTCCCTAACATTCTGGAGTGAGCCTGGGTGAGCAGCAGTCCTAGCAACAGGTGGTGTCTGACAGAGACTGCACTTCTTAATAGAGCCACTAGATGTCAACAGAGAGGACAAGCCTAAAACCACTAGGATCAAAGCAGTATATTATCAGGTTTTAAAGAAACATAATCCATTTCTATATGCAAATTAATACCTGTACAGTGTTTCAGCTAAGACCAAGACTCTGAATTAAAAGATCCTCCATTAATTCAGCACGAGGGAAACCACACCACTTTTAACACTAAAAATGTCAACCTCCACATGACAACACTTTTTGTATCAGCATCTGTGGATTAATAAAATGTGGATTTAAAATAAAATAAGGATTTTAAAGCATTGCTAAACTCTCAGTAACTTTCTGCTATTCTGTATTTTTTAAATCATTGTAGTATCTGTGTACGTTTGAAAATAATAGCACATATATTTCATGCACATTTATTCAGACAACAGATGCCACCTGCATGTTCTGGCTTATTGGGCCGCCAGAGGGTGGAGGTGACCAGGTGGAAAACCCTCCTAAAAGGCTTCTTCCCATTTCTAAAAACGGTACAAAAAATAACTGATTTACCCAAAGTTATGTGGCATGCTCGTGGCAGTCACAAACAGAACTCAAATGACCTACTTTACAAGTTGTTACTGATTATTACCATTCGAAGCACCAGCATACACAGAAATTCAACACAAATGTTCAAATAATGAATGGCCACTTTTACACCCCTCCCACCAACCACAATGGTACCCCCAAGCACATTATTCCCTTATAATTTCAGGTTTCAAAGAATTTCAAGTAACCTCTTTCTCATCTCTGGGAAGAATTTGCTCCTACCCAGGGACTCAGCGGTCGGCCAGAGGTGCTCGGCTGGGGACATGGGGTGAGTGTGCTACATCTCTCTGGAGCATCAGTGTGACACTGGGATCTGCCTTGCTGGAGATGCGGGAATGTCACACTCTTCCCAGGCCTGCCACCCTGTGCCCACACAATCTGCACGCCCTGTTTTCCCTTGCAGGCTACAACTTCAGTAGTGTGAGCTGAATATTCAAAAACTGAAACTTTCTAAGGCTGTAAGAAAATTTTGATTCTTTGTGTTTCAATTAAGCAATGTATTACTGCTTCGGTAGGATCAAAGAGCCTACTGCTGGGCAGAAACTGATTAGGGTAATCCTCTTGGGACTGGGGAGTGCCAGCCTCTGGAATGAAGGAACCAGAACCTGCACTTTCTCAGCAAGATTAAAAAGACCTGCAGAGCTAGCTTTTTTCAAATCTAGTTTGTCAACTTAAATTCCAGTCTATATTTTACCTTTGATGGCACTAAGTTATCTTAGTTCCCACAACCCAGTTTACCTTCTTAAAGCAACTTCACACTATCCTAGGCTCTATTTACAAACCCCGTTCACAAACAGCACCATTTCCTGATGCTGGGCTCTTCACCACAACTCAGAAGAAAATGAAAAGGCTGCCCTTTCACCATCCCATTGGCTTCTTAACATACATCTTAAGTTATGATAATTTTTTAATTCTATTTTCAAGTCAGAATAAGGGTTTGGTGGTTGAGAAAAGCAAGTTTGAAATGCAAGCTTGAAAGTAGTGAAAGGATGTGAGGGGCTGAGCTAGGCTCTGCCGAGCCCAGGTTGGGGTGGGCTCGCATTAACCCGAGACCCCTGACAACACTAGCCCAGCCTGGCGCCTTAACCAGAGAAGTCAGGCCACCCTGCACCACCCCAAAAACCAAGTGTGTGCATGGAAGCTTGCAATGCTTCTATTGCTGTGGAGATGCAAACGATCCCATCAAGGTGTCCTTTGACTGAGAAACTGCAAAATGACAGGATTCTGAAAAATTCACCATGCCAAAATTGAAGCATCTTTCCAGAGCAGTTTCAGAATTAAAACTTGAGCACTGGAGGTAAAGTATATGCAACAGAAGAAAACTGTTGCACCTGTCTGGGGTGAAAGGAGGATAGCCAAATTAAACTGGGTGACCTCAAGAAACAGAAACGTTAACAATAATAGCATTTCTTAACTGAGCATTTCCTATGTGTTCAATACTGTTCTAAATTCTCTTCACTATTAACTCATTCAGTCCACATAACCCCACACTATGAATCAGGAACTTTAGCTCACTGTTCCCATTTTAAAGATAAGGAAATTGAGGCTCAGAGAGGTTAAGTAAATTGTCCAAGGACCCAGAGCTAATAAATGGCAAAGCTAGGATTCACGCCCAGGCCATCTGATTCCAGAATTCAGGCATTTATCTGTTGGCATGATACCATGACTTTAGTGTCCTCAGAAGACCCACTTAAAAAACTGACATCCACCTAGTTTTCATCCTTAAAGTTGGGTGGAACCTGAAATATTAATGATTTCATCATTTTTCCTGATTTATTTATAATTACTATACTCATGAAATTTCATTTACAAAATGACAACTGATAATATTTTAATAATTTTTATCAATAAAGTATTTGTTTTCTAAGAAGCACATTATTAAGTGGAAAAAATGTGTGGAATTGAGGTCAAGCCTCTGATAGGCAGGGCCCAGAGAGTGGCAGCCCAGAGCATGGCCAGCTCTCACTGAGGACAGCCAGTTTTGTGACTTCATTCATGGGACAGGTAAAATTCAAGTTAAAAAAAAAAAAAGGAAAACAAAACATTATCTCGTCAAGCTTATAATGAAATAAGAAGACCTGGAAGCTTTGCTCCACTGTCCACAGGTGAATATGGGCTTAGTCAGGGAAAGGTGCTGGTCTGAGTTCATGAGGTATGGGTTGATTCTTTTTTAAAAAAATCAGAGAGAAAATAAGAGATAGTCTGACAAAGAGTGACTCACAAATACAGTTTACAGATTCCTTTCAAGGTTAAATGTTCTCAGTCAACAACTGGGAAAACCACAGATATTTTACTAAACTTATGCTTCCAACAATGGCCAAGACTGTAAGGGACCCTCCCACTGAAAACAACCAGTGCCTGGAAAAGACACAGAATTTGAGACATTGCTGGTCTTGAAAAAGGCACAGGAGGTTCCCCCCAAAATTTTCCTTTGAAAAAGGGCAGAACCATTTCCAGAGTGATAAGGAATTAGGTCCAAGCAAGAATTGGCACAGCAGACAGAAGGAATAGGACAGAGGGTGGGGCTGCCTCGGGGCCATAATGGAACGGCACTGTCTGGAACTCTGGGTGGGGGGGACACTGAGTCCAGACCCTCAAAAAGGCCTGAGGTGGTCCAGGTCCAGACAACTGCTGGCTACCAGCAGAAGCAAAACCAATCTGTCCCTGCAGGAAAGTTTCTCAGATTCCCGATTTCAGCCCACAGGACTGGTTAAAAGTAAGCAATGTGCTCACAATTACAGGTCACCAAACACACAAGAAAGAAAACAAGTGATAGTCAGGTGGAACAACAAACTACACACTTAGGTTCTCAAGAACTTCAGATACTGGAATCATCAGGTACAGAATATAGAATAGAATACGCAGTACAGAATATAAAATGCCCCATGTGTGACATTTAAAGAAATAAAAGGTACAGTCACAAAGATCAGCAATGAAAGAGTGTCAGCAGTGAAGTGTGGGCGGGAGGACTGAGCTTTTACAAGTAAAATATAAAATTGTTAATATCAATAACTCCATCTACAGGTTAAACATTAAGTCAGACACAGCTGAAAAGAGAATTAACGAGTGGAAGATATACAAATGGTGTTACTGCATGTGACTGCACTGTGACTAAAGCAAGCTGGAGAACTGAGCAGTGCTAATGAGAGGTCACGAATTGTCTTCATTCATTCACACAGTGAAAGTGGTAGTGCCTGTGGTTAAAGGGAGGGCTCATCTCTCTTCAGGGGAAAAATCTCTGAGATAGTAGTTCCAAGACCTTTTCAGCTTGGGATAAGACACAAGTGGATCGCAGCTCAGGAAGGATCCTCCCAAGACTTCCAACCGTGGCTGCCTCAGAGAGGAAACCACCTGCCCCAGGCAGGGCGGCAGGGCGGCAGGGCGGCAGGGCGGCAGGGCTGCGGGGCGCCGTGCTCTTCTGCACTTTCTGGAGTATTCACTAGCTGCATGTATTGCCTATTTATGCCAAAGCAGTTTTCAAGTTTTTGGAAGATTAAAAAAGATACAAACTACCTGGCCTCTCAACAGGAAGATAGCCTAATCGTTGGACAACACAATGGCCCAGACAACTCTCAGAAATTTGCCTGACTATAACAGGGACAGCACTACAGGGAAAGGTTGTCATTGTCACGTATTACATGAGGAAGGGATCTTGGAAAACTAAGGGCATGGTGACAACAACAAAACACACTACTGACTTGAGATGTCAGCTGACTTCACTTGAGATGAACTTTCAGAAACCAATAGGCGACATCATATTTTAAAGTGGAATGTGACATCAGCATGACTTGCAAAAGCAAAACAGAGTTTAGTGCTTGGTCCCAGTCTTTCAGGCTGGGCTCCCAGGTGTCCAGGGTCCCAGTCACCCCCCTTCTGCAGGAGTACTTTCCAGGGAAGGTTAGAAAGACACAGGGATTTTAACAGAACAGACGGAAAGTATGTTTTGATTTGACTTGTCAAGAAATATCATTGACTGATGCTTCTTCATATCTATGGTTTCTTACCCCAAAAAACAGGAAAGAAGAAACTGTATGATAAACAGAACATTCTTCCATTGGTTGAATTCAGTAGCCTATTGTTAAAAAGAAAAAAAACTAATGATTAGCTTAATAATATTGCAGTTTAAATTTATTGGTTTTACCAAACTGTATGTTTTGGTATAGGAACCACCTCCCAAACAGAAAATATCATTTTTTAAATCCTTCCCAAACAGAAAATATAACTTTTTAAATCCTAGGTAGTACTAGTTGTATGAGGTTGGGCAAATTACTTTTCCTCCCTGAACCTCAGGTTCATTTGACAAAATGGGGATTATTTTTAAAAATCTTCCTCGAAGGTTGATGTCAGGATTTAATGAAATTGCTTAAAATCTTGCTGGTGGCAAGTACAAAATGACAGCTGTTGTTGTGGCTATCACTTATTTTATAACTTGTAGTTCCAAAATCAGGGTTGGTTTTATTTTTTTTATAAATAATCTTAGAATAAGGTTTATTACCAAATTAATAATGTCAGCGAGAAAAGTTAAAGTTCCTAAACTGTTTTCAAGAACTTGCACATGTTTAGGAATTATTGTTAACTAATAAACTATTATGTGCTACTCACAAAACAATCAAATAATTGGGGTACAGGAGATGGTAGAGAAGTTTAAGACTCAGTTTCTGCTCTTCAGGAACTTAATCCATAGCTGAGAAAATAAAATTAACCCTCCTAAAATGACAGGTAACAATAAAAAGGAGTATTTTATTCATTTTCTGTTGCCTGCATGCAAAAATGATTTTAAGGTGACTCAAGACTGTTCATAAGTATGTGCTCAATAACATGATTAAAGGGCCGGCCACCTCCCGCTCACTGGCTGAGCGCAGTGCGGGTGCAACACCGAGGGTTGCGATCCTGTTGCCGGTCCCTGGTACGGGCGCGACACCGAGGGTTGCGATCCCGTTACCAGTCAGTAAAAAAGATAAAAAGGAAAATAAGTAAATAAATAAATAAAATAACATGATTAAATGTACGTTCTATTCACTTTCTATTTAGCAAAACTTTGTTTGCCAAGCTTTAGAAACTCTATATATTTAAAACTATTTAAATCTTTTAAACTTTATAATTCAATTTTTTAAGCCATTAAAGTAGAATTCCCTTCTCCAATTAGTACAGCCTTGTCACATTTTACTGTTATTGTTTCATTGGTAATACTTTGCACACTTCTCTTATCAAAAAGATACACATTAAATGGTGACAGTAGTTGAATCTGGCTGATGGATACATGGGGTTTGTGATACTATTCTCTCTCTTTCTGTAAATGTTTCAAAGTTTCCATCATAAAACTTTTTTTTTTAAATGCTTACTTGTAAAAGAAAAAATATAATAAGTATAAATCTGTCATACTGGCAAGCTCCAAGCCAATAAAGGAGGCAGAAAACATACAAGAGGATTAAAGCCAAAAAGTTTACACTGAGGCAAAGACCAAAACAAAACAAAACAACCAAAATAATGGGAAACGTTTAGAGTCTAAAATTAAAATAAAATTGGGAGTAAGAGAAAAATATAAGCCCCAAATTTCAAACCAAGGGTAGAAAAACATTTATTTACCCAAAGAGCTAGAAGTATTTATACAAACAGTAAACAAAAACTCTACATTCCTGATACTACATAAACCATTGAGGGCTATTTAGTAATTTTCATAAAAAATATTTTGATTCTTCACCAACCTAAATTTTTATAGATTTTAGTTTTATTTTGTTTCATAAATGATGAGGCTATATACTGGTGGAGTTTAAAAACATAATGTTGCGTGACATCTATTTTAAAACAGGAAATAATTAAAGCAATTCTCCCCTTACACTTACTGCTGCAGCGAAAGTGTGCCAGAGTGTGAATCTTTTTCATTTTGCACTCTGGGCTTTTTAAATCAGAAAACAAAACCAGTCCTATTATTTATCCTTATTCACCAACTATAATGTGCTAGTTGTATTTGAACCTATCACAGTGATTCTGATGAAAAGGAGGACCCCCACTGAGTATTTTCCAAGAGTCTCCTGTGTCAACAAGAGGAGCTGTCATCTCTGACTTTCCTAATCAGAGACAGGTTCAAGGTACTGACTGTTAACAGATGTAATGACTATGTAAGTCCAAAGTCCATGACTGAATTCCCAGAACAGTGAGTCACATGCACAAGTTTTACCACAATCTCTGATCCTCTCCATCTCTCCTAGACCCAGTCAACCAGGAAAAATGACTCACGGAACTTCTCCCTCTATGTACCGGCCAGCCACAAGAAAAAAATTCTCCTTCCGTGAACAAGAGGAGTTAATGTTTTACTCTAATTCATCGGTCAGCTTTCAGTGCAGTCAAATCAAATTTAGCAGATAAAATGCAATTTTATATTATAGGCTAACACATCTAATTATATAAATTCACCTCTTTATTGTATTTGGTGCACAATCTAAAACAGATTCAGGCATGGTCAAAAGCGACCAATTGGTAGAAGTTTGTCCTGATTCCATGAACACAGAACGATGCTGGCAGTGGAAATCTCGCCGTCTTTTCTACACGGTCGCTCACCTCTTTCTCACTGATTACAGTGAGTGTCCCATATATATTGTTTGGCATCTCTTATCATACAATACTTTTAGATTAAAATATATCAAATTTTTAACTTTTATAATTTCCTAGAAGGCCTTCTCTTATGGTTATAAATATATTCTATTTTTTTCTAATCACAATTTTTCTTATAGTTTTTGGGCCTTTTTGGTTTGTTTGGTTTGTTTGGGTTTTTTTGTAAATCTACATATTTGGCTCTTTGGTCCCTCTGGAATTTCAGTGAATCATAATCACTCCGGGGCTCCATGGTACTTAAAGAACTTCTGTTTGAAATCTGAGGAGTCCAGTCAAATGCAGGAGGCTAGATGGGAAAATACTGGGATATTTCAGCACCACAAGCCAGAACAGGAAGATGATATTCTCCTAGAACATCAGGATTTAATAAATTAAAGTATATGTTAGGCCTCTTATATTTTGCAAGATGTAAGGAATAGGTTATGGTTCTTCACATGAGAAGAAAAAAATACAAAAACACTTTTTGTATACAAATAAAACAATCAAGATTACAGTGGAAGATGTGTTTGCACAGCCAGATTGCCTGGATCTACCACCTACTGTTCTCGGGAAGTTATTTAAACACTACGCCCCAGGTTCCTCACCTGTACCTTCTCTTCTGAGGGCTGTTGTGGGAATGCAATGACATGAGCAAGGCAGTTTCTGGTCACTGTGCCATTCATAACATTATTCCTATGGGGAAATATGCATTTAGTCCCAACCGGGTGTTGTAACAGTTTCTAGAACTTTATTTCTATTTCTGAAAAATAAATATAATCTGAAACAGCTAAAAAAGCACCAGAATTTCAGAACAGATAAACTGCAGTGATTCAAAAAGAAAAACTCATTTCTATAATAATGAAATGAGACAAGCACTAGGACCATTTCACTGAGAGTTCATAATTTTGTATAAGGTTGCTTACACTGACTCAGCTTAGAATAGATTGACAGGAGCTGAAAAGTAAAACACACAATATGTGTTTTCAGATATCCTGCCTTGCTCTTCTTACTAGCGAGGTAAGGGGTGCTTGCTCTATCTCCAACACTCTGAACTAACAGTGAGACCCATGTTCACACAATATTCCGATTAAATGGTAACAGAAGAGGTCTTTATCGAAACTGGTGCTTCTTGGTGGTTTTCAATATAAACACATGGAAATGTCTGTTTACCCATAGGGACGTGGCTGCTAAGCCCTTCGGCTGTTCCCTCGTTCTGGGAAAGGAACTGTACAAATGATAAAGTATAGCTTGAGAGAGAACATAGCCCTGGTATCCACCCCAGGAGTCCACAGGAGGCTGTGGCCTTCCAGAGTCATGCAAACCCTAAAAGGGACACAAATCAAATGGACTTTGAACTGGTGTGCACCTTACTGTTAAATAGAGATGTACTGCCAGGTCCCTGGGTTAATGGCTGCTGTGTGGGGCCCTTGGGAACCCCCCGCCCCAAGTCCAGCAACGAGAGCGTTAACACCCAGCCAGTCCAGGTTGGGTCTGTATGTGGCAATCCTCCCCCGTTCCCCCTCAATGCCACCAGGATTTTGCCCATCACATCTCATTTGTCTTTGAGATAAGGCAAAATTCTTAGAAGCTGTGTGGCTGGCAACTTTCTGAAGAAGTCGGGTTTGCGCCCTTCAAGATGTCATTACGGATGTTAATATGGGAATGTTCTCGCTTCCTGAGGGACTTGGCCCTACCCTCCCGCTGTGCCTCGTATCTTACTATGAATGTGCCATTTGACGTGTCTCTCACACATGTGCAGAAGCTAAGGTAAGCGGGAAAAATACAGAAAGAACACTACCTTCTCACAGTTCAAATGCGGATCCTGGAATATTTAGAGGTAAATGGCATGACGTCTGGGATTTGTTTTTAAATACTCCAGGAGCGGAAAAAAGTGGCAGTGGACAGGGGTAGATAAAATAAGAATGGCAAAATGCTGCAAAGTGTTGAAGCCAGGGAAAGGGTACATGACAATTTATTGAATTATTTTCTATCTACTTTGTGTATGTTTCAAAATGTCCATAATAAGTAATGATAAACACAGTTTTTAACTATCAAAATCCCCTTCCAGGATAAGTAGCTTACTCAGGATCCCCACATCAGCAAAGAGGGATAGTGGGGCTCAAACTCAGATTGTTCCCGCTGCTGCTCCCCAGAGTTTCACATCCAGGGCTGTGCTCGCCGCTTCTCGCTGCTCCCACCTGTCTAAAGATACATGCCCTGCGAGGACCTGCCAGGTATCATTAGGGATAGCACACCTACTGCTCTGATGACCCTCCTGGTAGTCTTAGCTACCTTCACACATTTTATTTCAGTGAGTACCAAATGTTAAATATTAAAATTTTAAAAGACAGCTAAGGGAGACTGAGCCACCAGCTCACCCGCTGAAGGTCTCCGGTGGAGGCACTGATAATAACAGTTGGGATAATCATGAAGCAGGCGTTGTAGAAAAGCACTCCATATTTCCCCAGCTCCTGCAAACACAAAGAAAACCCCAATAAGTTTTGGAAATAAGAAGCACCAGATTTCTTGGAGCTATTTAAGCAATTACATATACATGCAGAGTTAGAATATGCATTCTGGGGCCGGCCCGGTGGCAGTGGCGCACTGCTACAGTGCGCCGCTTGGGAAGTGCGGCGGCACTCCCGCCGAGGGTTCGGATCCCACATACGGACCGGGTCCCGCTCACTGGCTGAGCGAGGCGCGGGAGCAACACCGAGGGTTGCGATCCCGTTGCTGGTCTCAGTCCGGTACGGGGGCGACACTGAGGGTTGTGATCCGTTGCCGGACACGGAAAAAGACAAAAAGGAAAAAAAAAAAGAATATGCATTCTGACCAACTCTGTATTGGAATATTTTCAGCAAATTTTTGACATAAAATGCTTTATTTTAACTGTACTATGATTTCAGAGTAAACGTTTGTTTTACATCAAAACTAGAGATAAAATGGATGGAGATTAAAGGCCTCCAAAGTTTCATCCATCTCTAACTGTGTGTGTGTGTGTGTGTGTGTTTTAAAGTATGTAATTCAAAATAGGAAATCTGGAAGAAAATAAGGGAAATATAAACAGAACTCCTTAGAAACATCTGCTCTGACCCTTATAGCACAGCAGCATTATATATTTACTTTCATTTAAGTGGCTACAACACTTCACCATTTTTTAAACAGGGTGGTGTATTGTGATTCTCAAAAGGCAACAAACCTGTTTTTGTAAAACTGCTACTATTAAAAAAAAAAAATGGCCATGCAGAAAAAACAGTGCCAATAAAAAACAGCTCATGGAAATAAGCCTGCCGGTCACCTCCCTGCTCAACACAAAGAACGTGAACAAAGGACCATGTGCCTGGCTCATCCTGGGGGGGTGGGGGGCCTTCAGTCAGCAGCTGGGCTGGGTGAGGCTAGGGCCGGGACATGGCTGCAGCCACACGGAAGAAAAGCCCAGCTGTCCCCAGCCCCTCCTGAGCAGAAGAGGCGGTTATGGCTGGGCAGGACTTCACCAATTCTCCATTCCAATTACCGCACTCCATAGATGAGGAAGCAGGTTTGGGGAAGTTAAGGATCACAGTCACAAGTAGCAAATCTTGGGTCTGTAACCCATGTCTGCAGAACAAACATCTGGACTCTGACTTTGCCCTGGTCAACTGATGATGCTGGTCAGAAAAAATGAATTTGCCTTTCAAAATAACCCCCTTTTTATATATTCCTGACTGTGCATCTAAAATTGTGGCATCTTTTCCCTTCCTATCTAACTTTCACCCAAAACGTTGCAAGACTAGCAATAACAAGAACTTATACAGACAAGATAAATGAAATTAGTAAATTATAGATCACATTATATAAATTACATGCCAACTGTACAAACTTGTTTTTGTTTTTCATGTAATTTCAGGGGCCACATGACAAAGCCTAAAAGCCACAGAGGGAAGATCTGGTACCTTTGGGTCCATTTTCTGTTTGGTATAAACTCCATTCGCTGCTGTGAAGATATCATTCAGGAAGACAAAAATATAGCCTTCCAAATTGAAAGCAAGGTCAGAACTGGTAGAGAGAACACAAAAGCAGGAGAATTATTCACAAACTCACAACTTGGCCCCAAAGCCTGCCTGTTTACCTTTCCCTAATCAAATCCATTTGAGATGCGCGGAACTGCCTTTCCTGCAGCATGCTCTCCCCTCTGTGGTGATGAATGGTTAATTCCTCTGCTTTGCCTCCAGACAAAAACAAAAGCAGCCCATCGGTGGTGGCTTCGATGTGATCCCGAATGTCTTAACACCAGAGGGACATTAACTCCTCCCTTGCTTTTGCTAACTGATACATTGGCATAATAATTGGGGAGCCCTGGCTTTTTTTTTTTTTTTTTTTTTCCTTTTTGTCTTTTTTCCTGACTGGCAACGGATCGCAACCCTCGGTGTTGCCCCCGCGCCTCGCTCAGCCAGTGAGCGGGAACCGGTCTGTATGTGGGATCCGAACCCTCGGCGGGAGCGCCGCCGCACTCCCAAGCGGCGCACTGTAGCAGTGCGCCACCGGGCCGGTCCTAGCCCTGGCTTTTCTAAGGGGAGTGATTTGCCTAACCCACCCAGTGGCTTTGCTTATTGTAGTAAAAGGAGCCATCCCCCGGGTGCAGCCAGTGTGGGACAGCTGGACAGTGACTGGGTCAAGAAGGGTCAAATGAGAAGGTGCCACCTCTATCTGGCATCCATCAAAAAGGCAGGCAGGTACCCCTGCCCTCTGTGAAACTCCTCTAAGGCTCCTTTCTTCCCATCCTTCTGAAAAATCTTTTCTTCAATTCCATTTTAAATAAAAATATTTGGGGGGCTATGACATAGGAATGAGGGGGGAACAACAGCTAAGCCCCGGTGTGATGTGTCCCCTGTACTCGAAGCTGGCAGACAGTACAAGACCCATGTCATAATTCATAAATATAAACTGCCAGGGAGGAGAGACTTTTCCTCTACCCTCTTAGGTTCCGTGCCTGGGGGCTGCAAATTTAACTGGCGAAAGACAGAGCGACAGAAGGAATGTGAATTTTAATAATATTTCACATATACAGGAGTTCTCAGAAGTGACACTCGAAAGAGCAGACTTGGGGCTTATATAACACTTAACAAAGAAAAGAGGGTTTGGGCTTTGAGGGGCAAATAAATTGTGGGAAAGTGAGTAGGACATACATGCAGGGAAAATCCTGGAGAGAGAAGGGCTATTTTAGGGCTTGTTTATGCAGACTGTCCCTCTCTGGTGATAAGAGCTGCTCTCTTCCTCCCAGCTCAGGAGAAGGGGCCACTTCACAAAGGGAAACCTATGCCCAATTTTAGACAGAACGGGGGAAGGCAGTGAGTTCTTTCTGCATCTGTTGATTCTCAATTGCCTTTAGCTCAGAATAATCCCGATTCCAAGGAGGCATATTTTGGGATGGAATATTCTGAATCTCCTACAATATCAAAATAAGATTATCTCCAACCAAAGAGAACAAAATAAGAAGAGGCAAAAATGGCATTGAAATCTGAACTCAAATTAAATCAGATTTTTGCTCAAGGTTTCCACTAGTATTGCTATCTACAAATATATTTGTGAGAATGTAAATTAATATTAGGTCATCATTAATCAGAATTCTCTGGTTCAATCACAAAAAGTGGGTTTCCTCACAATGAGCATCTTGCAAGTCTCTCGTCTTCCCACATTTGATTCAGCGTTGAGAACAGTTGGCCGTTCCCACTGGACTGTGATAGCGGGTTGTGGGTTGCGTGCAAGGCATGGGCAGATTATGTTTGTGTGTTAAACCACCAAGATGAGGAGTGGTTTGTTACAGCAGCACAAACTGGCTCACCCGACTGAGGCTGATGTACACTGACTTGCATTTGGATGAGCTAATTTGAGTGACAGCAGAGAAGGACAGGATCACTGCTGGCCTACAGCTAAGCACTGCGGACGTCACCCACCAGCGTGTGATCCATGCTGTGAGTGCTGGAGGAAGGGGAAAGCTGAGAATCACTACTCCAAGCTGGCTCCTGGGTGAAAGTCAGATTACCCTTTCAACTCAGAGAATCATGACACATGCTAAAGTGAGCTGAATTCCCACGCACTGGTTCTGGAAAGGTGCCTGAACAGAGACTTATGAGCATCTTCAGAAACCATTTTTTGTAAAGGTCTTTGACTGGCTCTGAGTCAGTAGTTTTCAAAGTGGGCCCTAGAAGAGACCCTTCAACAAAGCTCCCACCTTTTTAGCTACCTTACTCCTAGGGTTCCCTTTGAACAAAAGTCTTCCTGACTAAAACAGGCTCTGGGTGCTGAGCTTATTGCCTCAGCTGGAGCTTTACCAGAGGCACTGACCACAGTGCTACAAGCAGAGGCCCGTGGCTGGGATGGGGAAGAAGACGGAACAGAGAGTAGCGTAAATAGTGAAACCCAGTCTACACGAGGTTCTGAACACATTTATAACAACAATAAATATTACTGTTGCTGACAATATAATCACCATCTAGTGCACCATATTTTTCCCCTACTTCTTTTGCTTATTGGCTGTCTCCATGAACCAGAACAGAAGCTCTGCAAAGGATTCTTGCCTGTTTGTCAACTGCTGGATTCCCAACACCTAGAACAATGCCTAACATGCGTTAAATGCTCAATATGTTTTCGCTGAACTTGGCCATGCACTGGAGTCGATCCTGTCTGGAATTATCTCATCTAATTCTCACGATGACCCCATGAGGTGGATGCTATTTTAATCTCCGTTTTATAGTTGAAATAATTGAGGCACAGGAAAGTTAAATGGCTGACCCCTGGTTATACAGCTAGTAAGTGGGGAAGATAGAATAAGATCCCAGGCATCCTGGCCCCGTAGCCCACACCCTTATTTAATTTGCAATAAATGACCCAGAACGCTTATGTCTAAATGAGTTAATAAAACAAGTTGAACTGAAATTCCTCCAACCTTTTCTTTCTTCCCTTCATTGAAGTAGGTTTTGTTTTCTATCATCACCTTTTCTTTACAGATGAGAAACCGGAGGCATGGTGCTGTGGACTGATCGAATTGTGTCTGCAAAGTTCATATACTACAAGTTTAATTCCTACTGTTACTGTTGAGGGTGGGAAATCCTATTATGGTAAAAGGTGGGGCCTTGAAGAGGTGATTAGATCGTAGGACCATGCCATAGTGAATGGATTAAAAATGGTGTTCGGGGCGTGGTTCTGAGAAGCTCTCTCTCTCTCTGCTCTGCTATTTTCTGCCATGTGAGACCCCTGGGTCACTAAAACCTCATCAGATGTTCCCTGGACTTTGGACTTCCCAGCCTCAGAAACTGTAAGCAATAAATTTTGTTTTCTTTATAAATCACCTAGTTTCAGGTATTTATGTTATAAGTAATGCAAACGTACTAATACAGACAGAAAGGCTGAGAAAGAGCTGACAAGGAGCAGAGCTTGGCTTTGAACCCAGGGAATGTAACATGCACTAACTACCACACTAGAAAAAGCAGAAATCTGAGCAGCGGGTGGTGAATGCAGTGTGGTGTCCCCTCTCCCGCCCTTATACGTTAGTGATGAAGGTGGCAGCCAGGCACTGATATTGGCTTGTATGCCAAACATACAAGGACATTTAATGATGGCACTCTACCACTGGAAACAGTGACTGCAAAGGTACCACAGAATGATAAATCAGCATGTAAAGGGCCTTACAAGTCTATTATTTTTAATCAAATGCCTAAGAACTTCTCAGGTAAAATTTTTATATGGAAGACAAACATTCAGTAATAAAAGTAAATATCTCACGGCTTTTTGTAACAAAAAGCTATATTAGTATATTGCAATCTCTCTTTACAGATGCTCAGAAATGCTCAGGCCAATGTGGGACCCAGTGCGACTTTCACAGGAACACATGGGGATTCCACTGTCTTCAGCAGATTTGTCTCTTGGCTGCTCAATTCAGCTGCAGCCAGATGGAAAATGAAAAACTGAGGATGGGGCTGGGCTATTGTCAAAGACACAAAGCAATTACGGAGCAGAAACAGTCCAAAGTCTTACCCAGCTGCTATGAAAGCCCCGAGAACGACAGCAAAGACACTGGTAATGATGCTCAGTGAATACTGTTTCCTGTAATAAATAAGTAAGAAAGAAAGCAAACGGAGAAGAGGAAAAAATTTTAAATATGGATTATATTTTTAAAACAAACTGAAAATAGACATTAACAGTTTTATAGCTGGAATCTGACAGACAATGCTTAACGTAGAGAAAGCACTAAAAGTGTTTGTCGTCAGACAAAATTAACTTTCTTTCTTAAGCAGTTTTCTTAATCTAATTTTAAACTGATTTCTCTGTCCTCACTAGAGAGACTCTGGGACAAAACACAGAAGAGCTTCTGCTGGTAGGTCTAGGTTGTACAGACTTATACTGAGCATTCAAAGATTAAGATAAAGTTCAATACTAGGGCTTGAAACATTGAACCATCAAGCAAATTTCATTGCTAAATAATCTGCACAGCAAAATAAAGAATAATCTTTCTGGATGTCAGATTGAGTATCCTTATGAGAAACTTTTATACCAACATTATAAAAATTAATTTATTCTGATGTTATAATCACTGCACTAGAATGGATTTCCCTGATATCCTGCACTTCTGTCCTATGTGTTTACATGGACAATTTTTCTTCTGTTTTCCCAAATTGGTGTATATTCTATCTGGCTCAGGAAACAGATTTATATTTCTCTTGGGTGGTTGGCTGTTATTTTTTCTTTTTTTAAAAAGTAATTTTCTACCACAATCATGTATTATTTGTCTAATGTAAAATTACAACTTAAAAAAATCACTCAGTTGTTAGGGAATCACAGAAGCAGGCAACTGCTTTTAAGTGAATAACACATTTGTCCTTAAGTTACTACAACTAGCCAATCAAATCAACTATTTGGAAAGATGACTAGATGGTGAGAATCTACAGGGTAAAAATAAAGCAGAGGTGGGAGACACCCTGGAGGAATGGAGGAAAAACAAAATCACCCGAGTATGATGCTTTCCAGGAGTAAAGTAAGTGGAATGGTAAATTTCCTGAGCACGGTGAACATCGGCAAGCTGTCAGGAAAAGATTCAGGTACAACATCAGACACCAAGCGGTGGGGTTTTTTTAAACATGTATTGCATTTTTAATTAAGCTCACTCATTTTTCAAATTAAATATAAGGAATTAATCTTAATTTTCACATTTATCATTAACAAATCACTTTAAATAATAAAAAGAAATGGAGATTAAATAATTTCATACCACTTTCACATCAGTAATTTAAAACCTCATACCATCCAGCTGCTACAAAGATCATGATAAAACTGGTTGGTGATGTGAACCAATGAAGCCTTTGACAAATCAGGTCAAGACTATGTGTCAACAGTCATTAAATCGTTCTAACCTTGGACCTAATTATTGCTTGTTTGGAAACTTGTCCTAAGGAAATAAACTGCTGTGGCTTCAATGTCCCCCCAAGCTCATGGTGGAATTGGTGGTGGAAAGTGGGGCCTTTAAGAGGTGACTGGATCCTGAGAACTGTGCCCTCATGAATGGGTTGACCCATTCTTGGTTTAATGGGTTGTCGTGGACATTATTCTGATGGCTTTATAAGGAGCAAAAGTAAGAAGGTTAACTTTCTTACTCATGCCATTCTCACCATGTGATACCCTGGTTGACACAGGACCCTGTAGAGAATTCCCACCCAGAACAAGGCCCTCACCAGAGGCATCCCCTGGACCATGGACTTCCCAGCCTCCAAAACTGTATGAAATAAATTTCATTTCTTTATAAATTACCCAGTTTCAAGTATTCTGTTATAAGCAACAGAAAATGAATAATACAGGGCCGGCCCAGTGGCGCACTGCTACAGTGCGCCGCTTGGGAAGCATGGTGGCGCTCCCGCCGAGGGTTCGGATCCCACATACAGACCGGCCGCTCACTGGCTGAGCGAGGTGCGGGTGCAACACTGAGGGTTGCGATCCCGTTGCCGGTCCCGGTCCGGTACGGGCGCAACACTGAGGGTTGCGATCCGTTGCCGGTCATGAAAAAAGACAAAAAGGGAAAAAAAAAAAAAAAAGAAAATGAATAATACAGAAAATTGGTACTGAGAAGTCGGGTGTTGCTCATAACAAATAAAATGTGATAAGCAGCTGTGGAACTGGATAATGGGCAGAGACTGGAAGAATCTGAAGAAGTAGGCTAGAGAAAGCCTAGATTCTGGTGAGGGCTTAGAAGAAAAGAAAACAAGGGAAAGTTTGGTACTTCTTAGAAATTGGTTAAATGGTAGTGACCAGAATGCCGATAGAAATATGGACAGTAAAGGACATTCTGAGGAGGTCTCAGATGGAAATGATGAAGAGCTTATTGGAAATTGGAGCCAAAGTTACTCTTGTTATGAACTGGCAAAGAACTGTGTGAATGACATCTTATATATAAAAAATCCTAAGGAATCCACAAAATATTTGAACTAATTAATAAGTCGAGCAAGACTGCAGGAAACAAAATGAAGATTAAAAAAATCAACTGTACTTCTACACACTAGCAATGAGCAATCCAAAAATGAAATTAAAAAAACAATTCTATTTATGACAGCATCAAAAAGAATAAAATTCTTAGGAATAAATTTAACAAAAGTGTGGAACTTGGACACTGAAAACTACAAGACATTGTTAAAAAGAATTTTAAAAGGCCTTAATAGATGAAAAAACATTCCAGTGTTCATAGATCAGAAAACTCAACATATTAAAATGGAAATACTCCCCAAACAGACATACAGACTCAATACAATTCCTACCAAAATCTCGGCTGACTTTTTTTTATGTAAATTAACAAGATAATTCTAAAATTAATATGGAAATGCAAGGGACCAGAAAGCCAAAGTGATCTTGAAAAAGAACAAAAACGATGTACTCAAACCTCCCAATTTCAAAACTTACTGCAAAGCTACCGTAATAAAGACTATCTAGTACTGGTTAAAGGATAGATATATAATCAGTGGAATACAATAGAGAGGCAAGAAATAAACGCTTACAATTATGGTCAATTAATTTTCAACAAGGATGCCAAGACAGTAAAGACAATAAGAAAGAATAGTCTTTTCAACAAATGGTGTTGCGACAACTGCATAGCCACATGTATAAGAACGAAGTTGGATCCCTACCTCACACCATTTATAAAAATTAACTCACAATGGATCAAGGACCTAAATGTAGGAACTAAAACTTTAAAACTCTTAGAAGAAAGCATAGGAATAAATCTTCACAACCTTGGGTCAGGTGAAGTCTTCTTAGATACAACACTAAAAGCACAGGCAATAAAAGAAAAAACAGATAAATTGGATTTCATCAAAATTTAAAACTTTTAGAGATGGACACAAAACGTGGTCTATCCATACAATGAAATATTATTCAGCCTTAAAAATGAATAAAATTCTGACATTCTACAACATGAATGAACGTTAAAAACATCATGCTAAGTGAATAAGCCAGACAAAAAAATGAACAAATATTGTATGATTCCATATTTATGAGATATCTAGAGTAGGCAAATTCATAGAGACAGAAAGTAGAACAGATATTACAAGGCACTAAGAAGCAAGGGGAATAAAGAATTAGGGGTTAACAGATATAGTTTGTTTGGGATGATGAAAAAGTTCTGGAAATGGATCATGGGGATGGCTACAAAACATTGTGAATATACTTAATGCAACTAAATTGTATACTTAAAATGGTTAAAATGGTCACTTTTACGTGCTGTGTATCTTACCTTAGTTATTACTTAAATTTTTTAAAATTTAAAACTTGTGCTTCAAATGACACTATTAAGACAGTGAAAAGATGACCCACTAAATAGGATAAAATTTTGCAAATCATATGTATAATAAGGCACCTATATATCCATAGTATATAAAAAACACAACTCAATAATAAAAAGACAAACAAACCTATTTAAAAATAGGCAAAGAATTTGAATAGACATTTCTCAGAGGAAGATACACGTGAAAAGATGCTCCACGGCCCGGCCCGGTGGCGCACTGCTACAGTGCGCCGCTTGGGAGCACGGCGGCGCTCCCGCCAAGGAAAAATAAACAATTGGGACTATATCCAACTAAAAACCTTCTGCACAGAAAGGAAAATAATCAACAGAGTGAAATGAAAACCTACACGGTGGGAGAAAATTTTTGTTAACTATGCATCTAACAAGGGATTAATATCCATAATATACAAAGAATCCAAGCAATTACACAGTAAAAAACCAAAAAACCCAATTAAAAAATGGGCAAAGGAACTGAATAGACATTTTTCAAAGGAAGACATGCAAATGGCCAACAGGTACATGAAAAAATGCTCCACATCATTAGTCATCAGGGAAATGTAAATCAGAACCACCGTGAGATGCCATTTTACACCCACTAGAAAGGCTATAATTAAAAAGACAGACAATATGGGGCCGGCCCAGTGGCGCACTGGATAGTGCGCCGCTTGGGAAGCGCGGCGGCGCTCCCACCCGAGGGTTCGGATCCCACATACGGACCGGTTCCCGCTCACTGGCTGAGCGAGGCGTGGGAGCGGCACTGAGGGTTGCAATCCCGTTGCCGGTCCCCGGTCCGGTGCGGGGGCAACACTGAGGGTTGCGATCCGTTGCTGGACACGGAAAAAGACAAAAAAGACAAAAAAAAAAAAAAAAGACAGACAATAATAAATTTGGCAAGGATGCAGGGAAACTGTAACCCTCCAACATTGCTGGTGGGAATATATAGTGGTGCAGCCACTTTGGAAAACAGTTCAGCAGTTCCTCAAAATGTTAAACAGAGAGTTACTATATGACCTAGCAACTCTACTCCCCGGTATCTACCCAGTCGATGGGAATCCCATTCTTCCACTTCATCAGGCCAAAAACCATGAAGTCATCCTTGTCTTCTTTCTTTCATACACCACACATTATTCATCAGGATATTGAGCTCTTCCTTCGAAATATATCCAGCATCCAGACTGTGATCTCTAACTAACATTTAACATTAAATGTAATTAGTAGATCCTTAAAGAAACAGAAGGAAAGTCCAAGATAAGCCTGAGACATCATGTGCCAGGAAGCAAGGAAGTGATCAAAGACTATGGGGCCACAGGACATAGGAGCCAACTCAAAGGGGCTCCCGCTGGGCTGAGATGAGACAATTTGAGCATAAAAAGAAGAATCATTTCTCTAATGAATTGAACTGTGTCAAGTAAATGAAACAAATAGATCAATGGAACACACCAGAGAGCCCAGAAACAGACCAACACAAGTATAGTCAACTGATGTTCAATAAAGGAGCAAAGGCAATTAAGTGGAGAAAGGGTAATCTTTTCAACAAATGGTGCTCAAACAACTAGACGTCAATGTGCAAAAAACCAAATCTAGATGCAAACCTCACACCTTCCAAAAAAATTAACTCAACATGAATCAAAACTTGTGGAAGATAGGATAGGAAAAGGTCTAGATGATCTTGGGTTGGGTGATGAGTTTTAGCCACAACATTAAAAGCACAATCCATGAGAGAAAAAAGTTGACAGTGGAACGTCCTTAAAATTTAAAACTTCTGCTCTGTGAAGGACAGTGTTCAGAGAATGAGAAGGCTTGTCCCAGGCTGGGGGAACATATCTGCAAAAGACATATCTGATAAAGGATGTGTATCAAGTAAGTAAAAATTAGTAAGTTCATAATGATAGGAAAAACAAACTAACAAAAAATAACTGTCACTAGTCACTATTGAAGGTGACACTAATGTATTACTCTGAACATTTATAAATAAAGCTTTTATCCCACCTTTCCTGTGTAAAATGGTGAAAGCTTATCTCTACTGAAGACATTTAGGCAATAAATGCAGGAGGTCACCAATCAGCAATTCGTACTGAAATGGTGGGTCTGGACAACGATCATGCGTGCATGCTAAAACCACTAGAGGAAAGGTTGATGGGGAAATTTCTAACAAAGGGACAAGACTGACCCCTTAAAATCATTAAAAAAGTGAAACTGATCAACTTAACATCCTTCAAAGTTGGATACATTATGAGCCCCATAAGGTGATGCAGTAGAAAGAATTCAACATCACCAGTTAACTGGATCTTGCCTGAAAAATTGAACCTGAATCCAGTGAGCCCCTGGAACCAACTACCAGTTTATGGAAAATCTGAGGAATAGAAGAACACATTCCACGACACCACCAATAACCAACCCTTCTTCCCTCTTCCTCCTCAGTCTCATTTGCTGGTTCCCCCTCTTCTCCCACAAAGCCCTCATGCCACCCAAGCCCTTGTCTGCACGGCAGAGACCACAAGAGTGAGCAGTGGCCGGTGCCAGCTTAAGCTGCAGGTGAAGCCGGGGCCGGCCAAGAAGACACACAGAGACAGGATCCACCGCAGGAGGCGTCAACACAAACTCAAGGCCATGAAAGAAACGTTACTGCCCTAGCCCCAAAGGTCACAACACACCAAATAAAATGTATTACTAAAAACAATACTTCACATTTTGTTTTTCACAGCCACAACCAGTCCTTTCCAAACAAGTGGAAGACAAGCAGCCAATTCCACGTTTCTCATTTTTGTATGTCCTTCTCCTGGTCTACCTCCTGCCTGCCTCTTTTCAGCTCTTTCTATACAAACACATTTTCCTCAATTTCTGTCAACCTTTGCCCAAACTTCATTTTCTCATTATTTAAGTCTTCACTCATGTATGTTCAATTAAGCTGATAATTTATTCCACATTTTCTATTTATAGGATGGCTTCATCTTTCCACACTTTTATTTTTATTTGTAACAATGACTTTTAACAAAAGTAATTAATCAAAGGACCCTGAAATAAATGCAGATGCAAACTTCAAAAGCATATAGCACATGGGGCCGGCCCGTGGCTCACTTGGAGAGTGTGGTGCTGATAACACCAAGGCCACGGGTTCGGATCCCATATAGGGAGTTTGCTCACTGGGTGAGCGTGGCGCTGACAACACCAAGTCAAGGGTTAAGATCCCCTTACCGGTCACCTTTAAAAAAAAAAAAAAAAAGCATATAGCACATGCTTGAAAATAACGTCTTGTCATTCACTCATCCCTGCACCAAACCTGACCTATGCCAAATCTGATCGAATGTTCTTGCTTTCATAAAACTGTGATGAAACCAAAAGTTACACAGAACCATATTCACATACACAAACCTACCTGGATAAATCATACTTTCTTTATCTTGATGCTTACAGATCTCATATTCTATGTTCAGACTTCAATATAAGAAAAAATATAAGCTTGTAAACATTCCTTTTATTTTCCTTTTTTTGTCTTTTCTCGTGTCCGGCAATGGATCGCAACCCTCAGTGTCGTGCCCACACCTCGCTCAGCCAGTGAGTGGGAACCGGTCTGTATGTGGGATCCGAACCCTCGGCAGGAGTGCCACCGCGCTCCCAAGCGGCGCACTGTAGCAGTGCGCCACCGGGCCGGCCCCAAGCTTGTAAACATTCCTATAAAAATTGGCAAAATAACCTCAAAACCGCACCTTACTTTCTTAAATTACTAAATATTATTGTCTTCTATGTGTAGCCCACGCAATATCTTGAATAATTAAACTCGGTCTTTGTACTACCAGAAGCATACGAAGGAGAAAGCTCCCATCAACCATTATCCTGAACTCTACCTTAATTTGCTTGTGCTCAACAGTCCACTTATGTGGTTTCCAACGTAGAGGAGAGGCAGAGGAAACAGCTTCAATACAAAAAAAGAAAGAATGTTTGGTTAGAACTCCAATAACGTATTTTCCTTCACATATAAAAATGTTGACGTTCACCCCCACCCCATCAGCACACAAATCATTTGAATTCCTGTGCCTGCAATGACTGTGAATTTTCCAGAATCTCAAACACACCCACAAGTTTCCCCATGTGGTCAAAACAGTTAGGTGGGAAGTGATATCCATAATCCCAGGGGAAGGAGGGAAATGACTGGAAATAACTGAAATCTTGACCTTGCCCACATTAGTAGAATATTTCCCTCAAGGAAGGATGTGGGCCGGGACTTCTCTTGAGAGGAGACCCCCAGCTGGTTGGTGAGTTGAGCATAGAGTTCACAGTCCAGGCCCAAGGTTCAGGGGGCCCGAGAAAAGGCGTGCAAACATCTGTTGTCCGAGCTTATTTGCACTTTTCTGGCTCATGTCTCTTACTGGAATCTCACAAGTTTGGTGACCTTTTCAAAAAGTTGTGTATACCAGCCACATCACTTTGAAGTTACTTTATTTGTTTTAAAGACCTAGAATCATTAAATATCTACCAAGGTCAAGTGATGTACCGGTAGCACGTGAATTAGGTTTACTGACCTCTGAGCTCCTGATTTATTTTCTGATTGTCAAGAGAAATACTGTTCAGAATATGCTGAAGAAACAGACAAAATGTAAGGCCTAGCATCCCATAAGGAAAAAGAAGAAAAATGTATTCTTTCATAAGGTCACACAATAACAGAAAACTTTCTGACAACAGTCCACAGCTATCAGGGTGAATTCATTCTTTCTTTTTCCACTAAAAAGACATTAAGCATGCAACCCAGATAAGACATCCTTTTTTTTTTAATTGTAGCAAAATATATATAACATAAGGATTGCCATTTTAAGCACTTTTACACATACAATTGCATGGAATTAATTACATTCACAATGTTGTGTGACCACCTCCTCTATCCATATCCAAAATTTTTCACCACCCTAAACATAAACTCTGTACCCATTAAGCAATAACTTCTCTTTATCTACCTCCTGACCCCCGCCGTTCCTAGTAACCTCTAATCTACTTCTGTCTCTGAAAAATTATTTTCTTTTTATTTTTTCTTAATTGACCCATGATAATCATATATATTTACGGAGTACAATGTGATATTTGGGTACATCTATACAGTAGGTAATGATCATATTCAGGGTAATTAGCATATCTGTCACCACCAACATTTGTCACCTCTTTATGTTGCGAATATTTAACATCCTCTCAATTGGTGGTTACATGGTGGCCCGGTGAGGAATCCCTAGGCCAAAACTAAAGAGAAAACAGAAACCCAGAGAGAAACAGCAGAAGCCAGAAGACAGCAGAATTGTATCTTCAAAGTTCTGCCAAACTGGAATTCTACCCCCAACAACAGTACCTTTCAAAAATAAAGGTAACAGTTAGACCTTTTCAGACAAACAAAAACTAAGGGAATTCTCCACCAGTTGACCACTGCTAAAGTAAACTCTAAAGGAGGTTCTTCAGTCAGGAGGGAGATGCAGAGTGTGCAACGCAGAAGGGAAAGCAAAGCAGGGTAACACGTGGGCAAACACACGTGACTGGGGTGGTGACGTTTAAAGAAAGAGCACGAAAGTGCCTGCTGACAGGAGCACACGATATTGGAAAGAACAAAACTGTCACTTTTTTGCAGATGACCTGATTATGTATGTAGAAAACCCAAAAGAAACTACAAATAAATTCCAATCACTATTCCATACTTTTGCAGGTACAAAAACAATACACAAAATATAAAAATATATACCTCTAATTTTCCAAATAATGTATTTCTAAAAGATACGTGCATAAATCTAACAAATCAGAATAAATCTAACAAAAAATGCTAGAATTATACAGAGAAAATTAGGAAAACTTTACTGTAGGTAATTAAAGAAGGGGTACGTATATCATATTTATGGACTGAAAGATTCAATACTTTAAAGATGTCAATTCTTTCCAAATTGATTTACAGTTTCAATGCAATCACAATCAAAATCTCAAAAGGTTATTGTTATGCAACTTGACAAGCTGCTTCCAGTATCATATAGAAACAAATGGAAATGGTCAAGAACAAGGAGAAAAGACTCGCTCCACCAAATATCAAGACTTTTTATAAAGCTATAGTAACTCAGACTGTGTGATAATGGTGCAGAAAACACAGGAAGACAAATGGAAAAGCACAGAGTTGAGACACAGACCACGCATACGTGACTGATACTACTGTGACCCAAGAGACACAGCTGAAGGGACAGGTTTTTCAATTAAATCTGTGACAACTGAGTGTCCTCACAGGAAAAAAATAAAGTTGGACCTTTACCTCACACCATACATAAAAATCAGCACTAAGTGGATTAAAAACCTAACTCAAAACACTTTTTATACCTTTTATCTAGAAAAATGTCTTCATGATCTCAGAGTAGGAAAGGACTCCCTAAATAAGAAAAATAATGATTCATCAGTAAGAAAAAAGACCGATAAAATTGCACTACTTTTAAAATTTTTTTAATTTATTTTTTTAATTGAAACATAATTAATTATACATATGTGTGGGGTACAGACTTGATTATCAATACCTGTGTACAATATGTGATGATCAAATCAGAAATTTAACCACTTTAAAATTAAGAATTCTTCTTCATTAAAATAAATGATAAAGAAAATAAAAAGATAAGTCACAGAGAGGGAAAATGTAGCTGCAACTAACATATACCGTATATAACTAACAAGAGGACTATTATTATTACATTTTTAAAAACACCTACATGAATCGGTAAGGAAAAGACATCAACCCAATAGAAAAATGGAAAGAAGTTAAACAGGTATTTCACAAAAGAGGAAACGCAAATGAGCACTAATCACTGGAAAGGTGCTCCACCTCAGTAGCAACCAGAGAAGTGCAATTAAAGCTCATAAACTGGCACAGGGCCGCGAAAACCAATTACATTGTACAATGTTGAATGTACTGATTATCCTGATTTGACCATCACATATTGCACACAGGCACTGACATTCAACTCTGTACCCCACAGATACGTACAATCAACTACGTTTCAATAAATATATAAATAAATAAAAATAAAGCCCAGAAGATGTTACTACACACCCACCAGATTAGCAAAATTTAAAATGACTGGCATGCAAGGATTGGCAAAAATGTAAAGCAACAGGGGCTTTCATGCACTTTTGTCACGATTGTGAATTGGTACAACCACTTTGGAGAACAGCTTGACATTATCTACTCAAACTGAAGACATGCATACCTAGAAGCCTGCAATTCCATTCTTTGATATACGCCCCCAGAGAAACTTGTACATACGTACTGTCATGGACTGAATCGTGCCCCACCCCCCAACTCATATGTTGAAGCCCTAACCCCCAACATGACTGTATTTGGAGACAGGTTCTTTAAAGAGGTAATTAAGTTTACATGAGGTCATAAGGGTGGAGCCTTAAACCAATGCCACTGGTGCCCCTAGAAGAGGACACACACACACACACACACACACAGAGATAAGGCCATGTAAGGACATAGTCAGCCATCTGCAAGCCAGGAACCAGAAACCAACCCTGCTGACACCTTGATCTTGGCCTCTGGCACTGAGAAAACACAGTTCTGTTGTTTAAGTCACCTAGTCCGTGGTGTTTGGGAGGGCAGCCCTAGATGACTAGTATATGGGACCACAATCCAACTGTAAGTGTGCTCAGAACAGTACCTTTTACTTTTCTAGCCCCCAAACTGGAAACAACACAAATGACCACAAACAGTAGAACAGATAAGTAAATTGTGGCACATGCATACAATGAAAATAAAAGAATGCATCGACACACAACAAAGTAGATGAATCTTACCATCATAATATTAAGTGAAAAAAGCAAGATATAAAAAAAGTAGAGTTTGACTCCCTTATATAAAGTTCAAAAACAGGCAATACTAACTAAACTAATATAATATATATAATAGTTTAATACTAAACTAAATAGAATTCACTAAACAGAATTTAGGGATGCATATGGATTACAAAGAAAGCAAGAAAATTATTATCACAAAAGTCAGGATAGTAGGCAAGAAGGACTTTGTGATCCCATTTTATGACCTAAGTAATTGTTTACAAGGGTAATTATTCATTCAATTATACATTCAGGTCTGATGTCTTTGTTCTCTACGTATAGATCATATTTCACTATTTTAAAATACTTAAAATATTTAAAAATTATACATCATAAGTGTAAGCAAGCCCAACAATATTCTGATTTTTCTTCCACGATGATTAATATCTTTCATACACTTCAACATTTTATTTTTCTTTTTTGTGGATGTCCCTGATTATTGATTACCATTATTGCTGATCATGTGTTTAGTCCATCTGATGAATAATCCACTGCCGTAGATGCCTGCATCTCTCCAGGCATTAAAGACATGGCAGTGAAGAAGCCATGAGAGGTCCTCAGCCTCAAGGAACCGAGTCTAATTTAACCTCCCTAAACCCAAAGGCTATCATAATCCATTTAATACCACCTACCTTATGGGTTGCTATAAGAATTAAATGTCTGGCACCCCGTAACTGTTCAATAAAAGTGGTTCCATTCCACATTCCCAGGAAGGAATGGCAGATCTTATCTTTCTATTTCCACCATGGAAAAACCTATTTCTACATACATCCAATTGTATTCTTCACTTCACTTATAGCTTTTGTCAATCCAAGCTAAAAAGAAAAACTTAACACAGGGATCAGCAAACTAGAGCCCATCAGCCAAGTCTGGCCCATCTCTTATTTATGTAAATAAAGTTTTATTGGAACACAACTACATTGACTCATATCATCTAGGGCTACTTTCACGGTACAGTGGCAGGGTGAATAGTTGCAACAGAGATGGCCCTTTACCAGAAAACTTTGCCAACACCAGTTTTAGAGCTTTGTCATTTCAGAAGACACAAAGTATTTATTTAATGTCAACTGTTAAGCACATACTTTTACTATTATTGCATTCCATAAATGGACAACTGAATGATATAAAATCTTTATTAAGAAGTTTCTACCCTGTACAAGCAGGAAGTACAGTGTGTATTAGAAATAGAATTATATCCTATTGTAATTCCATAGTATTTTCACATCTTCCAGCACAGCTGTATATGTTCTTTCATCACATACCTTTACAGGAATTTTCTTGTCAAAATCAGGGAAGTGAATTATTTTATTTAGCTTGGACACATACAGTATCATTATGGTGACTGCCATCTAAAGAGAAGAGGAGAGAGAAACCTCAGCAAAATATCTAGAAAGATTGCTTGAGGTACAATGACATCATCAGAAGAAAACAGATTCATCAAAAAGAAATATAGCCAAAAAAAAGCCCATTTTTCAGGTTCCAGGAAAAAAAAAACTATTTTATGGAATACTAAAATTGTTTTTCTTGCCACTGTATGGATTCCATCAGAACTGTAAGCAAAAAGGATACTGTCAAATAGACCACACATATACCCATTATCTCAAGCGGCTCTAGCAATGGTGTCCCTGAGAGTGACCATGAAGGCCACAGCCGGTGAGGCCAACACTGATCCTGGACAATACTTCCCATGTAGGAAACATATGCTCACCTCCCCACTGTGTATGTGTGGTGGGGAGGGAGCGGGCCAACAATTAAAAAAAAACAAACTCCACATAAGAACACACTTTTTAATAAGTCCAATATTTCTATTAACACAGAAGACAAATTAAGAGAACAAAGAGAAAAACAAATGTAATTAAAAAGGCATTTATTTTTCTCTTCAGTTAAGCTAGTATAGCAAAAATGTCTCATTCAAATCCTATTAATCTGGAATACACTAGGGATATTAGAAATACTCCACATCATTATCATGAAATTAAAAATTTTAATATCTTCCTATGCAAATTTTAAAACTTACTCAATTTTCTCCACATTAGGATGCAAAATTTTAAGAATTCCTTCAATATAATTATAATCCTAAACCTTGCTCCTAATGAGTTTACAAACTTAAGGCTTGTAATAGTTTTACATAACTCAGGTCATCCTAAATTATAATTGTGCTCTGTGTTTATGCCTCGGTTTATAATTCTTAAAGAAATACAGTAACACTTACTTAAAATAAGTGTAATTCAGACTTTTAAATTAGGTCTGACTGGTCTCTTCTCCCAACAAATTGCAAATCAGAAAGGCTTTACTTTAATTCAGTATAAGCCAGTGTGTTAAAGAAAGGTGAATTGAGGGCCGGCCCGTGGCTCACTTGGGAGAGTGCGGTGCTGATAACACCAAGGCCATGGGTTCGGATCCTATATAGGGATAGCCAGTTAGCTCACTTGGGAGAGCGTGGTGCTGACAACGCCAAGTCAAGGGTTAAAATCCCCATACCAGTCATCTTTAAAAACTAAAAATAAAAGAAAAGAAAGGCGAATTGATTTCATTTGGGAATTACAAAGGGCATATTATCACATATTCACTGATCTTTTTTTAAGTGTTTTTTTCCTACATATTTTTACATTGAAACATAATTTGTTTTTGACCTTAAGGAAACATATTGTTTCCTTGCTATAATGTTTTCTCTCTAAAATGATGTTGCAAAGAATTACAAATTAGCAAAACATGTAAACAGAATAATGTTTACTTATATAAATGACAAGTTTTTCCAGATTCACAATTTAAAAATTAGTTAACATACAATTTTAAGTTTTTCCCCCTATAAATTAAAGCAAAATCAAAAAAACAAAAAAATCTTTGGTGCCTGTTACTACTTGGCTACTGGAAATCAGCAGCGTGTGACCTAAAGAATAAACAAGCCACAAATTAATATTAACAGAAAATTTCAGGAACAGCCAAATGGACTTAGTTTGAAAGCTTATCCAAGTTCATCCTTGTATTTGAGAGCAAAATTCACATATTTCAGGAAGCAAACTACAAACATGTTTTGTTTGGCCACGTAGAGTGTTATAAAAATCTGAATCAGTTGTCAGCGATTACGAATTTGGAGATTTGATGTAAAAATTCCAATTCCCTCTTTCTCTTGAAAAAGCTCCTGAGTTCTGATAATAAGAGCATTGTGGGCCCCACCTCATCTCCCCAACTCTTTCCCTATCAAGTAGGACAAGTATTGTCCCCGTCCCGTCCTCCCGCAGCCCACTCCTGTTATGCACAAGGTCTTAGAGACTTTCAGTGCTCTGGACCCTTGCTTTAAAGTAATTAAATTAAATTAAGAAACTTAAAATAAGTAGCTGTTTTTCCCACAAATACAATTGCTCCTAAATTATAGAATGACATAAAATGTGTGTCAATATTTCATGTTGTCTCACCAAGAGTACCATGACCATCTGGTCCTCTGCCAGCTGGATAAATTTGTAAACCACAGTCTCAAACAAAAGCACTTACAATGTCACCATGTACACTGACAACTAATTAAGAGGCTAACTTAATTTTTTTCACTTACCTGTCCAATTCCAAGAACAATTGGTGATGGGAAACTACAAAGAACACAGAACAACAAATCAGTTAAGCAACATATAAAAATTTGAAGACAGGAGTTATTTAAAAGTCCTAGACAATGAAAACTTAACATCAAATGTTTTCGCTTTTCACTTGTTCGTTTATTTTTATTTTTTCAACTGATAACTGCTAAACTTGGAAATTTTCTACTGCCCCTTGAAGCAGACTTTCATTATATTAATAGACATGTCTGTGTATGCAGAAAAGCCAAAATAGTCTGGTGATTAATTATTAGAATTAATAAGATAACTTTAGAAAGGCAATGAATATAAGGTAAATATATTTTTTAAAATCAATTATATACCTATCTACCAGCAAGAAACAAAGAAAATGTAAATTTTAAAGATATAATAGCACCAAAAAAAAAAAAACCATCAAATAACACTAACTGGATATTTTATGTTATTAAGGAATTAATTTTACTTTTTTAGGTATAAAATGATATTGGGGTATTTTTTAAAACTAGAGTCATTATCTCTTAGGATTCCATGTTAAAGTACACATGATGACATATATTAATTTGCTTCAAAATCATCTGGGGGGAGATGTTGGGAGTGAGTGGGAGATGGATACAAATGCAACAAGGTTGTTGAAACTGGGTGATGGCTACATAGTGATTCGTTATACCGTTATTTTTTAGTAACATCCCCAGGAACAAATCTAATCAAGAATTTGCAAGAAAGCCCTCTCCACAGAAAACTACTAAATTGATACTTAAAGAAGACCTAAATAAAAGTCATGGTTTGCAAACTCAATATTGTACTGAGGTTCATCCTCCTCAAACTGAACTATAGCACCAATGCGAGCTCAGCAAAAATACCAGGAGGAATTTTGGGGAAACCAACAAGCTGATCCTAAAATTGAATGTAAAGGCAAAGAGCAAAAATCACTTGAGACAATCATGAAGAACAAAGTTGGAGGAATCACTCTAATGCACATCAGGATTCACTTTAAACTTACAATAAGTGAGACTGTGTGGTATCTGCACAATGACAGTCCAGTAGGATGATGGAACAGAAGAGAGACTGGGACAGACACACGCATTTATGGATACCTGATTTATGACAAAGGTGACCCTGCAGAGTAGTGAGGAAAAGATGGTTTTTCAACAAGTGGTTCTGGGTTACTTGGACATCGAATCCTGCACCCACCTCACGTGGCACTTAACCAGGCAGCGCAGCACCTCAACCCGCCCACCCCCTGCACCACCCTCTCTGGCTCCCCATCGTCTCTCAATCTGCTAAAAAAGCTGGAATCTCAGAAAAAACTCAGCCCTCAATCTGTATGTCAGAGGGGAAACACGACTACGTCAGACAGGGTAAGAAGAGAAGAAGAGAAAGCCTCTCTTATCAAAGAAAATAGAACAAACGATGGAGTGTCCCACCATGAGGATGCAGTGAGCTCCAGTGGATGCTGGACTGTGCCCCACAGCCCCCTACCAGAAGGAAGCTGTCACCCCAGCTGGGTCCAGCTGCCGACGGTGGCTGCCCACTCTCTGAGAGCAGCCAGCATCCCAGTCGCTGGTCCAGGCAGGGCCCCTCACCCCAATTCAGGACAGCACTGTGGAGCCACCCAGCTGCAGAGACCCTGCCACGAGGCCTTTGTGGAGACTGCACACAGCACAAGTCTCCCTCTGCCTTAGCTGCTCCCCAGGAGCACTCCCCAATACACGTCAGAGAGCAGAGCCAACAACAGACAGCACAGAGCAAAACGACAAGGTAAAGAGGAAAACTACAGCCACAGAGGGCTTACAGAAGGTGAGACAAAGAACCAGCCTGGAAGAAAATACACTGCACCGGACAGAGAAGGAACTCTTCGTAATTGCTTCAGGCTGTAGAACACCTCAATAAGAATAAGACCCAATAAAATAAGAGCTCAAAATCAGATGGTAAAACAGTCAGAGGCAATGAGAAGACAGCACACAGATCTGCGGAAACCAACAAAGGACAAAACAAGGTAACTGCCACATGAATAAACACCTTTAGAACATGAAGAACTAAATGGCCACTGCCGAAAACTGAATTACTAATGCCTGAGGTAGTCACAGAGTTTGCAGAGGAAAACAGAAAACTCTAAAAGATGAGTTAAATAGACATGGAGACAGACAAACGCTACCACACATGGCTAATTGCTGGGCCTGGTGTGAAGAACTCAATAAAGACAAGAACTCAGTAAAGATGATGCAAAGATAAAAGACAAATTTGTTTCCCTGAGATGAGAGAAAAAAGGAACTGACTCTTCAGATCTAAAAGCACATGGTATTATAGAAAATCCTGTTAAAGAATGCTGAACACCATTAACACAGCAGCCATGAACTCTCCGTAAAAAAACCTGCCTGACAATGGAATCCACCCACTGGGAGTCAAATCAAAATAATGAACTCGGGAATGGAGACATTGTGGTAGAGGGGCTGTAGAGCTAGGGCTGGGTCTGGAGCTCACAGACCCCTCAAGCCTGTTCACAAACCCTTCGCATGCAGGTCTATGAGCTAGGTAACTGGCAAAAAGGTCCTTGGAGCCTTGGTTGAAGAAAGAGCAGTCTTCATTCAGCACACACACATCTAAGAGCTAAGCAGTCCACAGAGAAACTCAGAAACTCAACTGCTACCAGCAAACTCCAAAGAAAAACTGAGCAGAGTAAACATGTTCTATTTTTAGACAGGAGCTCTGCGGGCCAGCTCTGCTTCACAAACTGCAGAACACACAAGAATAGCAACAAACTAAAAAGATACATGGGTGCACATGCACACTAACTCCACCCACACACAGCTTGTTTACAAGAAATGTGCTGCACGACCCCCAACCAGACCTAGGCTGGAGCAGGGCTGACTAAATTATTCTATTTTCCCCACAGGGGCTACTGATGCTTACTCTAACATTTAAATGTAGAGTAGATTCAAACAAGGATGGGATTATAATTAAAATGTGCTACATTATAGAATTGGACATGGAGGGCAGGGGAGTGTGCCTGGGTCCTTACCTTCCATGGCAGTGAAGTCCTACAAATCACCAAAGATTGAAACATGGGTTTAAAATAAACATAATGACTTTAACTTTTTAATGTTTTCATGACCTCTTAATCTCAGAGGGATCTTTTAAGAAACATTAACCCTTGCAATAAAGAAATACATGTTTGAAAGTCAACAATTCTTCCAGTTGAACTCAACTCCTTTTCTCTCCATTCAATTAAAACTAAATGTCATATATATATGCAACTCGCTATCCCATCTTCAGCAAGCCTCAAATGCAGCCATGTGTCTACCAGTGGATACAATGCAATATCAAGTTCACAGGGTCAGCTGTGAAGTAGCCCTGCCAAGGATGTTTAAACTGAATGAAATCAAGCCTTTCAATCTAACTTTCGGTTAGAGACTAGAGGAAAATAAGTTAAACAAGTGCAAAAAACAAATCAGACAATCCACATGTGGAATATTTTACAACTGGCCCAGGTTTTTCAGAAAGTCAATATCGTGGGATGAGGGTGGAATGGGAGCTGCTCTAGGTTAAAATAAACTAAAAAGAAAGACTCATGTATGGATCGCATGAGCCTTGATTGGATCTCGATTCGAATGTTAAAAACAAGCATAAAAGCATCTTGGGAACAACCAGGATGATTGTAGATTAGGTATTATATTATTTTAGGATGTTACTGTTAAATTTGTTACGAAAAAACAAATGTAACAAATATTAATTGCATTTCAGTGCTGTGTATGTGAGTGCTGACTGTGCTTTCCATTTTTCAGAATGCTTGAAATTTTTCATAATAAAAAGGGGCGGGGGTTAGGAAATACTGAAAAAAGTTGAATAATTAGGTAAAAGACCCCTTTTTCCAACTCCTTTTGGGATTAAACAATTTATAAATACAGAGTAAATAAATAGTACATATAATCTGGATCCGTTTTTATAAAAAGTAATTCAATTTATACATCTACGGCTCCATCTATCTATATATCTACATATGCATCCAACCATCTAAAAAGATGTCTGAAATTATTGGCTAATGTTAATTTTAAATTCTCACCCCATATTTCTTTTTCTGTTTCGATTCTTTATAGTAATCACAACAGAATGACTTTTCTTTAAAAAAAAAAAAAAGACAAACTACATATTTCATATCGATCCTAAGTAGTAGGAATATGGGTAATAATTACATTGTCTTCCTTGTCCATTTCTATATTTAAATAATCCCCTGTCTTTTAACTGAATTCTTGCAGGAGTGAACGTCAGGAGGTGAAGACCCTGTGCTCCTGCAATGGTCTGACTCTGACAGGAACAGAGGAATGGGCCACACATGGGCTCGAGGGTTTCGTCTGCTTGAGAACCTGAGCACATGTCTAGGCTGATGGAAGAAAAGCTGCTCCTGCAGGAGAGGGCACGACAATGGGAGGAACCCAGGACATGGTGTCCAGAGCCAGGCAAGAGACTGACCTTCCACGGGAAGAACCACTCCCTCCACATAAGCAGTGACGAGATAGAGGGGCCTCCTTTGATGGTTTCTATTTTCTCAGTAGAGGCTGGGGTGGCGGGGGACAAGGAGGGCACGGGAGGTTTCAGAAGGAAAAAGACATGTGAAACAGTCATCTCTGAGACAAGGAAAGCAGCCAGCAGGTAGTAAGGAGGCCCCTTGAGGTGTGTGACCAGCCAGCCCAGATGTGGGATTTCGCCCACGACACTCAGACTGCTCAAGTGCAGAAGGAAGCAAGCGGATGACAGAGCAAGCCACAGTGAGAGGGACAGGAGTCTCCACATCTCTCCTAGAGCACTCGCGACAGGATGAACCGGTTAGGGAGGCCAGGAGGGGCCAGTGTGACAAGACATGAGACAGGAGGGGGCACCGGCGGTGATAAGCTTAGAGAGGGCATTCCTGGGCGTCGCCATGGGAAGCAGCGCAGGAGAGTTTGTTGAAGGTGAGACCAGACTGTGATGGTCCAGCGTGTGGACTCTGAATCCTCGGGAAGACTGACCCAAGTCAGGGCAGG